TTTCCCTAGCTATGTCATGTTATGTAGAATTTTTATTATGCACTTGAGGATGTTTTATTGGTGAACTACATTAAATTCATCTAGAAAGAACTTTAAAAAAAAAGCCTTTTCATATGCCCTTAGGATTACTTGGCTAGACTTGAATCAATTTATGCATTTGATGGTTAGCTTCAGTTGTCATGGATAAACAAAAGGGTAACTGTCTAGAATATATCAAATATTGTTTTATTTCAAAATGTAAGTTTCCAGCAATACACATCTTCTACCGTTTTGTAAAAGTATTCTGCTGATAAAATGTAGACTTATGTTTGACAGCTTTTTAATCAAGTTCAAAGAGAATAAATAAAACTAATCCAGTGTGGTAAAGAGTCTGTCTGGTTATCGATTTGTTCATAAAATGAAAAATAAACCATGTAAATAAAATGTGTGAAACACAGATCTAGAAGCAAATATTTAAGGCAATTAAAGGCCCCAAAACATAGGATTAATGCATAGATCTGCTGTGCTTGAGAGATATGTTGCAACCATCACTCCTAACAGGTCAGGAATTATACCAGCATTGTTTAGCATCATTTTACAAACTATCACATTGTTAAGCAGGAGAGGTTGCTCCTTAGAGTGATCATCTATGAGAATAAATGTATAATGATGCTGGCTCATTAAGCAAACACAGCTCTAAGATCAGTTGGTAAGATTGGCAGAACCAAAGTAGGATCTGCGGTGTAGCTCAGTTACAGTGATACTGGTAGGTATAAGCGTGCATAAAGAGACATACAGGGACAGTTATCAGTGGTAAAAACAAAAGGTCTGCAAATGGTGGACATTTCCTTTAGAGAAAACACATGTAACATCAATGTCTTAAGACAGAAGTACAAGTCTTTAAAGCATCTGAATTCAATAAAACATCATCCCTCAATACCTTTCATACTTTTATGTCCAGTTCTGAGGACATACGCATTAACATTTGTTAGCGTCCTAGTCTAGATTCTTTTAACAGCAACCTAACAGGCCTGCTTATGGTCCGCGGAGCTGACTACCAGAAAAGGAGTCAGGAGCCGAGTCCATCCATTAATAAAGACCATTTACATTACAGCCCTGTTGGTACTCACAGTCATGCCCTTGAGGGCATTGCCACTATTGTCAGAACTGATACATTCACTTCTTACTTGGATTCTGAAGCAGCTAGAAGACATTTCTTAAAAGGGAAAGAAAAAAAAAAGCTGTCCCTGGGATATGGAGCCTCTTCAGGAGCCTCGAAGTAGTGATTCCTTACCTAAGTATTGCATTAAACATTGTATTGCATGCCTGTGTACTCTTAAGTATTCAGTTGACTCTCTTCACCTTACAAGCTGAATATTTTGGATATAGCAGGCATCAGTGCTTCCTATTAATTTATCCAGGCTGTGGAAATGAGCAGCCTATGCCTTGCCACCTGAACAGAATATTTAAAACTGCATTTTTTGCCTCCGAGCTGATCACCAGCAAGCAGCAGGGCTGCTGGGAACCCTCCACCACTCAGTGTGTGTGTGTGTGTGTGCGCGCGTGGGGGGGGGGAACGTGGCAAAAAGAGCCGATTAAAGGAGCTGCTGGGCAGCACGCTTCCACCACAATATAGGTCCCTAATGGTATATAATTATTTATGCAAAGTAGAACAGTCAAGCCAGGATTCCAGCCAGCAGCTTGACCACCAATTTCTCACACCACCAGCCACTACATTGACCACTAGGCTGTACACATTTGGAGGTGCATGTTTCTCTTGCTAATGTTTTTTCCATAAAAAAAATCAGAGGTTTTTGTTCTGCTCCCCCCCACAGTGAGGAACAAGAAATATTTCTAATTTCTTGAAATTTTTACAGGGTTGGAAAACTGTTTCCTACTTAGATTTGCCTATAAACCTCTTAAGACTGAAAATGACAACTTGTATTTGCTATTGAACCAGCTGCAGTACAGGTAACATATTGAAGCCTGTCTGTGTGTGCTTTCCATGTTTCACCAAAACCAAAAAGGCCTTACTATGGTACTCAAAAGGTTAAGCTAATCAGTCAGCCTGTAGCACATAGACAATGAGTGGAGTTTGGAGGGAAGCTGATAAGTAGGAAGTTAGGACCAAAATCATAAGTGTCATCAGACAGAGTTTACAGATTTTACATGGTTTATTCTGCAGCCTAAGGGAACATACACATTATCACTGCACAGCAGGTTCCGCTGCATTTTATTCCTACTTCATAAAGGAAACGTGAAGCATGAGGAAGCTGGGTATAATCATTGATGCAGGTCTCAATCAGGAGGTCTGATTTATGAGGAATATATAAATGAGACCCAGGGGCAATGTTCATTTCTGAAAAACAGAGGACCCCTATATGCCTACCCCTAAGGAATTAATGCAACATGTGCAACAAGATCTTCACACAGTGACGTTTTCAAATTCTGTCCTTAGGTTGTTCCACAGTTAGAACTCCCATTAGTTTGTGGGAGTTTCTTATGGGACAACGGCAAGATTTCTCACACAATTGACTGCTACTGTGTACAAAAATAGCAGTTACATCCCTCGACCACTTAAGTATGTGTTCTCATACCAGTGATTTCTCTTGTATCTTGCTTATATACATCAGTATGCATTACTCTTATATAATAAAGGGCTTACTCCAGCTGCCTGTCTGTCTGTCCATAATGCTCTTGGAGCACTCTGATTGGTTAGTGAAACAACCAATCAGAGTGTGGAGTGCTGCCATGATGGCAAGCAAAAAGGGGACAGAGTGAGGGGGTGCTGGCCTCACTCCCTCGCTCCATCCCCCACTGTCATGGTAGCACTCCACTACCTCCAAGGAGCAGGGATGGGGGCAGAGTGGGGAGGGGGTGGTGAGGCCACTGGTCCTGGAGGAAGCAGCAGTGCAGGGTGTTGGCAGTGGGTGATGGAGGGGATGGCAAGGCAAGCTTCCCTGCCCCACCTGCTCCTGGGAGGCGGCAATGGCACAGAGTGGTGGGATGGTGGCACTCTGTTCCCACCCCCCGTCATTCTTGACGGGCAGTTCGCTAGTCATTATTATATTGTTTGCATTATTTGAACAGCCACCAAGGGCAACTGTGTTCTTGCAAAGTTGTAAGCAGTATTGTTGAGATAGGTACCATTTTCTCCTAAATTAATATGTCATCTGTTTACAAAGCTATAATGCTTGAAAAATCTAAAGTATTTTTTACTTTGGCATATCAAAAGAACACTAATGTGCCTCGGGTTGCAAAATTGAGCACTCAGAAGTTAGAAAAAGACAAAATTATGACTCTTATGGCAGGAAATGGATGTGTTTAAATCAGCAGGTCCAGATGCTCTTCATCCAAGGGTACTGAGGGAATTGGCGGAGGTCATAGCAGGGCCCCTGGCATGACTGCATGAACGCTAATGGTACTCTGGCCAGGTCCCAAAGGACTGGAAAAGGGCCAATGTGGTTCCCATTTACAAGAGTGGAGAAAGGAGGATCCGGGTAACTATAGGCCAGTTAGTCTCACCTCAGTCCTTGGGAAGACTTTTGAGAAAATTATCAAGGGACACATCTGCAGGGCCCCAGCATGGGAGGTAATGCTCAGGAGCAACCAACACAGGTTCATAGTGGGCAGATCCTGCCTGACTAACCTTGTTTCCTTTTACGACCAGGTCACAAAGTCCTTGGATGTGGGCGTTGAGATGGATGCCATCTACCTGGACTTCAAGAAGGCCTTTGACACTGTTTCTAACCCCATGCTCATAAAAAAAGTGGGCAACTGCAGCATCGATGCCTACACAGTCAGATGGGTGGCAAATTGGCTCGATGGTCGCACCCAGAGAGTGATGGTGGATGGGTTGTTTTCGACCTGGAGGGATGTGGACAGTGGAGTTCCCCAGGGCTCAGACCTCGAGCCTGTGCTATTCAACATCTTTATCAGTGACTTGGAGGTGGACGTGGAAAGCACACTGTCTAAATTCGCTGATGACACAAAGATATGGGGAGAAGTGGGCACACTGGAGGGGAGGGACAGAATCCAACTAGATCTAGACAGGTTACAGAGGTGGGCACATGAGAATAGAAGGAATTCAACGCAGACAAGTGCAAGGTGCTGCATCTAGGGAGAAGGAACCTGCAACACACCTACAAGCTGGGGAACACCCTTCTTGTCAACTTGGTGGCTGAAAGGGATCTTGGAGTTATTGTTGACTCCAGGATGAACATGAGCCACCAGTGCAAGGAAGTGGTCAGTAAGGCTAACCGCACCTTGTCGTGCATCTACAGATGCTTCACAAGCAGGTCCAGGGGGGTGATCCTTCCCCTAGATGTGGCATTGGTCAGGCCACAGTTGGAGTACTGCATCCAGTTCTGGGCACCACACTTCAAGAGGGATGTGGCTAATGTTGAGAGGGTCCAGAGTGTGCGGGCCGGGAGCGATACGGGGCCCTTTTTTCGCGCCATGGGCTGTGGCCAGCAGCCCGGACATGCTGGGTCGGAGAAAGCAGGCAACACACTAGAATTAGGCACGGACACATAATGGTTGATTCAAGATTGTTTACTTACACCGTAGATGGTCGCGGTGTAGGCTGGACAGTTTCCCAGGTA